TTTCATCATCATCATCATCATCATTAATTTTTGAATAATTATTTTTCATCTTTTGTCGCTTTCATCGCAACACTAGGTTTGTTTTTATGTTGCCAAAAACAAATAAGCCAAAAGAAAGATTAGTAAAAATTTGCAAATAATGACAAAACTTCTTCCAGGACATTTGGACAACTTAAGAATTTTATCTTAAAAATATAAATATGCCGTTTTTAGAAATTTTTATTGCTTTCTTGTATTTTTTTTTCGTTCTGTTAGTATTACGTTGATACTACTTGACGTCAACCGGACACAAAATTTGAAATTTAACAATAATGATCAACTTATTTTCACACTTCTACTTAATACCGGGTTTTAAACGTTATACTAGACAGAATATCATTACAATTTGAATTGATACTTACTGAGAGTATGCCGCCATAATGTATGTCCGTTAAGTCGAAGAGTAATTTTCATATATCTTGGTGGGTAAATATAAGCACTGAGACAGACTGAAATAAAAACAAAATGTACATACTGAGATTAATATTCAAATATTTTTTCTGTTTATTCACTAAGATTAAAAGGAATATGTGACTATTATGTAAATAAAATAAACCCTTTTCCTATCATGCAAAAAAAAAAAAAAAAAAAAGAAAATAAATAAAAAGCACTAAATAGGAGGAATTCTAAAAAGAGGCTCTTCATCTTTTTACAGCGTGTCTTTGCTGGTCTACTGCAGAAAGAAATGGCAACCTACTGTGGGGAAAAATCTATCTCCTCATGTATCGAAAGATACATGAGCGCTTAAGTGTGTATCACGCATGGCACATAACTCAACAATAGGTGACTTTAAGGGTCATGTATTGTCGAGCACTTTTTGCTTAAAAGGAGTAAGCTCTTTTATCATGGTCCCATTGTTCCCCATAACATCAGATAGTCTTGTCCCTCCGGTGAATTTCTGGTGTTTTTTTTTTATTAATTGTGAATTTATGGCTTTTTATCTTGGGTCTCGTCCCGGTGATGTTTGATGGCGTGTGCATGATATGCACGCACCGGCTACACTTTTAACATCTTGAATTTCCTCGCGGGTATAAAGGTTCCCAATTTCACACAATACAGTTAGTAACCATCTAATGATTCCGTAAAAGCGTATGAAACTGGCAGTCGTAACCGGTCACTGCCCACTAAAAATTTGATTTAAAATATAATAAAGCTCTGCCATTTAATATGGCGTCGAACACTTTTTCTTGTGTGCAACCTTAGCAGCCACCTTTGAGAACTGCTTATTTTTATTATATATATATATATATATATATATATATTCTGTTTCGTTCACTTTGCGCTAATGACCTCGGAAAAGGCATGAAACTATTTCCCTCCCTTTAAGGGTTAAATAGCAGAGTAAAATAGACTCTCTTGCTTTGGCTAGCCGTCAGTCTAGATGAAGAAACACTTTCGCTGTTTTTCCGAGTATACCATGTTTAAGTACATGTACTGTTCTTAGGTTTTGAAGTTATTCCGAAGAGATTAAACCCAGTGAGAGTAATACCGTAGCTATCCCAAGATTTCGCGATGCATTGTGTACTATTTCTTTGTTATCAGTTTTTGTGAAAAATGAGGCTGGTACTACAAATGTTGGTTCTAATGTCAACCACCTGTTCGTATAGTTATATTGTTATTTCGAGTCAAATGAATCGAAAGTAATAAACAAACAAGTAAAACAAACTTATCAAACATTTTTTCAGCAAGACATTGGCAATCAACAAAAATGTTTTCTGATAAAATTTCTCAACTTTTCAAGATTAAAACTGATTTATTCAGTTACCTAAAATGACCCCAAACTCTGAAAACTATCAGTGACGCGTTGCGAACGAAGTATTTTTCCTCTAAAAATGATACAATTGAAAAAACAAATTTACAGTTGTTGCATGGAATTGCAAGTGGTGTAATGGATAGCTCCCCTGAATGATAAATCGGAGAGTCGAGTTCCAATTCCAGTCGGGTTCATTATTTCCAGTTACGAACAAATACTCTTGGGAAATATATGAATGCAGCTATCTGAGGTATAGGTTAGATAGTAGTACGTGTATCTGTGAAAGTCATTATTATTCTCAAGATATTGTTAATCCAATATCCATTCGTAAGAAAAATGAATTAGTGTTATAATCCAAAATGTGTCGGCTTTTAATTAACCTATAGTTATTTGATAAGCCTTAAAAAGCAGTCAAACAATCACAGCTGTTGTAACATATTTTTGGAGAGATTTATCTGTAAAAGTCTATTAAATTACTCAAATCTTTTGAAAAGTCTGGTGTTCCTTCAATTGAAAGTTTCGTAAAATATTGACTCTCCAAAGTTGTGTAAGAGAACTTGCCTCGTTTCTCGTTGTTCCTTGCCACATGTTATTGAATCAACTAACCGAAAGAGTCTAGGCAAAAAGGATGATGTATTCATTCCATGGATTCCCATAATTTTTATTCAAGAGTTTTCAAATCCTGGTGAGGCTCAGTTTTACTATGACTATCAACAAGGCGCACGGAAAATCTCTTATGTTTGTTGTGTTAAGGTTGAATCCCCAAACAATCTTTTTATAATGACAACTACTGAAAGAAGCATTGATATTGCATACCCTGAATCCATATCAACAGCAATTTTGATTTGGGCAGCAGAATATTTTCAGTAAAATGTACTTGTGTAAATTTAAAAAAAAAATTGTTGTCAGACAGAACATGTTAAAGAAAATGCTTTTGCTGTCTTATCTTTGTTATTATCTTTTCTTCAGCGGGCAACTCCGGGTATCCTTGTTAGTATATTAGCAGCAACACACACACACACAGACACGTACGTGCTATTGAAAAATGAAACACAATTTTATGAATTGCAAGAACCATTTAATCTTACCATGCAATCTAATTCTGGAAATTCTCAATCTTTTACAGCAGTGACCACGACGACCTCGCCAGTAACAATATATTCTGCTATTGGCATTTTCGTCATTTTCGTCAGTTGAAATTTCATCACTTAGGGGATCTTCTTCCTCTTCAGTCTCAATGGAAGGCTCTTCATTAGGTACCTCCAGTTTGTCGCTGAAAAACAGTATAACATGATGAAAAAGGACCCAAACTTAATAAAAACAAAATTTTATTGTCAAAATGTTTATGCTATTATTAAGAGGAAAGACCAAAGTATTTTTTATTGTTTTTATTTAATTTTTTAATCCTTAATAGCATGTTCGGAATTTTGGTTAAAATTTTTTTTTTGTTTTTGCGTCAGCGGTCGACGTAATATTTACGATTAGTGTTTTTGCGCCTTTTTCAAGTGAAAAACATATTGATTAGAAATTCTTCCAAAAATCAAATAATAGTCGGATTTTAATGTAACTTTCAGGACTTATTGACAAATGAATAATATTATGTTTGCAATGTCCTTAGAAAATCTTGCTAAAAATATTTTTACATATATTATCAATCCACCCCTTAGTTAATTTCATAAAATTTCTAGAAATTAAATTTCAATACCAAATTTCGTTTTATTAGTTAAATGCATTGGTCTTTGGAGAATTTAAGTCAATTTCTTTTTGGAAATTGGATTAGTCAGTTATTAAATATCTGCTCTGAATTGTAAAATAAAAAATGAAATAAAACTGAGATTATTTAATATGAAAGGCTTTTAATTGCTTTTATAAATAAGATTTATTAAGGAAATTATTGTCTTAAAAAATCGATGAATAATGAATTTTTACAAGAATTATTTTCATTTTAAAAATTTTAATTGTAATAATTTAAATCGCTTAAAATATTGCATTACTTCAATCCGGTTAGGTGATATTAAGTGAAAACTATATTTACGAATCATAAATTGAAAAGCTTAATGTAAGTCGTTTACTCCCAATATTTTAAAAATAATTTAATTTTTTTTTAGCGTAGAAACATTCTCATTTTCGTAAGTATAGATGTCCGTCATTTGTTTTAGGAGTGGCCCTCTCTAAAAATCTGGCTGTCTGTAATTCTTTCAGTATTTATTTCTGTGTTTCATTGTGTTTTCGTCTCAACAGGCTTTGCAAAACATCCCTTCAAAATTTTAAAATTTAAAGTAATTTTTCCTTTTTAAAAATTCTATTTCACTAAATATTTCTATTTTATATATTTATTTTAGTGTTTGTCATACTTCAATTAAGTAACCTGGAGACGAAACCCAATATAATTCTACTAAACTAAAAAAATAATTTTTACTTTAACTTAAATTGAATATTTATTATTAAATTTCTATAAGTTCTTAGTTTTTAATTTGTGTGTCTTTTTGAAATTTCTTTTCAAATTATTTTTACTTTAACTCCTATTTCATAAAAATGTTCTTTTTTGTTATTAGTTTTTTTTACTTTAACTTTATTCTATTTTTGTGAGAGTTATTTTGATAAAAACATAAAGATGTAAATAAATATATGAGTAAATAAAATTCAATAAAATATTAAATAATTGCTGAAAATATTATCATAATTTTAATAAATTACTAGTTAGTTAAAAACCGAAAACAAAGCGTTCACTTCATAAATTTATTTCAATTTCTAGTCAACCACATTTAGTATTTCAACACCTTCGGCTGCCAATCAATCGATTAACACGTCAGGAAAAACAAGACCCCGTTGTTAAGAAATGCTTGTATATCACGTAAGCAATATTTGTTTCAAATCAGCTCAATTTAACTGTAAATTTACTAAGTTTCGTCAAATAACGTGTCACAAATTTTATTTTATTTTTGGAAGATTTTTAAAACCGAGAAATAACTTTTGTTTACAAATCTATCAAAATGGCTGATATTTATAGATTTTTATCGATTTTCTGAAAGCGAGCAAAAAGTTGAGATTCAAATCAATATAATTTCTATTTGAAATACACCAGTGTATTTTGCTTACTGGAAATAATAAATTTAATCATTTAGCTTTAAATTAAAGCTAAAATGAAAGTTTCATTAAAAAAATCATTTTAAACCATAGGTATCGAAAATTTAGTGGAGGTACGTACTCTTCATCATGAATTTTAATTTCCGGAATAAGGTCCTTCAGATCCATATTCTCATCGGATTCAGCCTTTTCTTGTATCGCTTCAGAGAAAACATGAAGAAGATTTTCGAGATTTTCTTTGAAATCTATTAAAAAAATGTAAAGATAAAGAAAATTTAAATGGGCAATATATATATATATATATATATATATATATATATATATATATATATATATATATATATATCCATGATAATAATAATGTCCATGATAAGAATCAACAGCTGCTAACGTCAAAGAGCTACATTCATATGCACATGATTGACGAAAATGTTTTGGCACCAAAATTTATTTTCTCTCATATTTTGGCCGTGGAAAAATGATTGTGCATGAAATAACGCAGAAACAAAGCAAACATGCGCACATAAACGCCCACGTGTAAATGTATATATATATATATATATATATATATATATATATATATATAGATATGTGTGTGTGTGTGTGTGTGTGTGTGTACGTACGTGTATTTTTGTGTGTGTGTATATTCAGATATAAGTTGAGAACGAATCGAGTATAATTCCACTGTCCGTAGCATTTAATTCAATACAAAGGGCCCAATGCAGAGTAGAGCTTTATATTATTTATAAAAGGAGGCTAAAACAAAAACATGTTAAATATCGCTACACAATAGCTTTCGTGTTTCGGCACTATTTTATTTTTAATTTCAATACACCCATTTTTCGAAAGAGAAGAGAAGACGAGAAAACAACAGATCACAATTAAAATAAGGCTCTTTGGTTTATCCTGATTAACCAATCAGATGACAGACCTACGCTAAATTCAAAATTAATCTAAAAAAGAAAATTTAGAATGTAGCCTGAAATAGAATCATAGACAAGGTTATTTGTAGCAGACATGAATTGGTTCAACCTATAAGCAAGTGGCAACATTGTATCATAATTGTGGACAAATATGTCTTGTCCAGTTTTCCATAAGAATCTAAGAGGAAGGGTAGGAAGAAAATCAAACATATATCTAACTGTAACATAGATTTGGTAGTTGAAAATTGAAAGGATTTTTAAGAAATCAGTAAATACAATTAAACTGTTTAAAATTTAAAAAAAGGTGGAACATCCATATAAGATATTAATAATATCGACTAGACAGTAATACATAGCTATATTAAATCTAAATAAACAAAATAAAATAATCACTCATAGAAGGTGCCCCGCATATTACTAATTATGACCATATGAAAAGGTATTACCAATTTCAAAGTTTATCCACCTTGTTTATTAGATTGAAAATAATCGTTTACTCACTAGTTATTTACCATCCCCCTAAGAGGCACAACTTAGTGCCAAAACACGAAAGCTATTGTGTAGCGATTTTAAACATGTTTTTGTTTTAATCTCCGATTATATATATATATATATATATATATATATAAATCCAAAGGCAGAACAATGTAAGAACAGAGTAATATAATAATATTAAATTTAATAGACAAACTCTTCAATCAGAACAATCCTTTAAGAAAAAAATTAATGGAAAAAGTCTAAAAATTAGTTATTCCTATACTAGTAATATACACAGTATAATTAATTCACACAATCACCTTGTATTTTATGACAGTGAAACACAAGAAGAGAACTCTCTTTGTAATTGTGTAACCGGAAATAACTGCCCTGTTTGGAGTATTTGTACTTCTGAAAATATAGTATACTAATATTTTTCCGAAGAAAAATATCAGTCAGAAGAAGGTATACATAGAAATATCAGCTGGGCGTTGGAAGCAAAGATTTTACAATCACCGGTATTCCTTCACCAATGCGTCTTTATGATATAAAACGGCTCTATCTAAATATTACTGGAATCTTAAAGATAAAATGGAGGATCATTTGTCAATCACAAACTCCCAACAACTTTAGGGACAGTGAAATCTATGCATTAAAGAAAAATCATAATGATAAAAAATGTTGATGAATTATTGAACTAACGAAATGAAATGTAGACATAAGAAACGTGTTAAAATTCCTTAATAACATTAATTTTGGAGAATTTTATACTTGAAGTGTTGGATATTGTTTATGGGTCCTAACGTTTATGTATACAGACATTTACAGTGTTTTAATATATATGATCATTTATGTCATGTTCTTGCTTACATCGGTTATAATCTTAAATTATGAATTAATTTTATTTTCTTTATTTGTAATTTTAATTTAATTATTATTATTATTATCATTATTATTGACATATATATGGATGTGTATATGAGTGTGTATGTGTATGCATTTGGATATTTATGTGCATATGGATATATATATATGGGTGTGTGTGGGTTTGCATATGTGCATATATATTGCATTTTAAGTTTTTAGTTACTTGAAAGGTTCCTTTACTTTTCTTTTATTAATTTAATCAAGATTTTTGTAGTTTTTTTTATTGTTTTCGCCTCAATTTCATGTTCTTAATTCTTTCTTTTTTTTATCCCTTATTTTTCCTTCGGCATTGGTTTGTGCAATTACAAGCTAAAATACGTAAGTTTTTTTCCAAACGAGTATAACTATTTATATTATTATCATTATATATATATATATATATATATATATATATATATATATATATATATATATATATAAACATATCACTTGATGATTAGTAGGAGGAGGATATAAATCCAAAGGGAGCTCAATGTAAGAGCAGAGCAATATAATAATATTAAATTTAATAGACAAACACTTCAACAATACTTTAACAGAAAAAAAATAGAAAAACTCTAAAAATTAGTTATTCCTATACTAGTAATATACACAGTATAATTAATTCACGCAATCACCTTTTATTAAATAAATTTTATGATAGTGAAACACAAGAAAATAAGCCTCTTTGTAATTTTGTAACCGGAAATAACTGCCCAGTTGGGACTTTTTGTACTTCTGAAAATGTAGTATACGAAGCTAATATTTTTCCGAAGGATAATATCAGTCAGAAGAAGGTATACATAGGGATATCAGCTTGGAGTTGGAAGCAAAGATTTTACAATCACCGGTATTCCTTTACCAATGCGTCTTTAAGATATCAAACGGATCTATCTAAATATCACTGAAATCTTAAAGATAGAGGCTTCAACGGAGGATCATTTGTCAGACTCTCAGCAACTCCAGGGACAGTGAAATCTATGCAATAAAGAAAATTATAATGATTAAGTATAAAAATGTTGATGAATTATTGAACCAACGGAATGAAGTGTAGACATAAGAATCGCTTTAAATTTCTCTAATAAGATTAATTTTGGAGAATTTTATACTTGAAGTGTTGGATATTTTTTATGGGTACTAACATGTATGCATACATACATTGACAGTGTTTTAATATACATCATCATTTTCTTGCCTACATCGGTTATAATCTCAAATTATGAATTAATTTCATTTTCTTTATTTGTAATTTTATTATTATTATTATTATTGACATATGTATAGATGTGTGTATGTGTATATGTGTGTGTATGTGTATGTATTTGGATATTTATGCGTATATGCATATATATATGTTTGTGTGTTTGTATATGTGCATATATATATATATATATATATATATATATATATATATATATATATATATATAAAATGAACATTGAAGTCAACACTCAGAAGCGACGGGCTGTTTCATGCTGGTTGCAATCGGCAGGCCGCGAATGCCGGGTTTTTTCTTGGCAATTTATATATATGGGTCAGTGGTGCATTGTGGGTAATCCCTTCTGGCGGTTATTTTTGCGGCAGTGGCTTGTTTATTTATTTGTTTTTTTTTTTTTTACTTGTTTTTCATTTTCATTTTGTATTATTTATTCTTTTCGTTTTTTGATGTTTTATTAACGTAGCAAAAAATTTTGGGGCGATTATCTTAGGTCGCTTATTTAATAGTTTGTTTTGGTTTGTGAAGATAATTAAAGCTATTTATTCGTGCAATGTTTAGTTTGCTTGCCGCAGTCTACTCTGTTATTTTGGTGGGTGGACAGTTTTTAATTTATTCATTTGGATTGGTTATTTTACTTTTTTTGCTTATTTATGTTTATTTTTATTAGGTCTAACGGTTATTTTAGCGGTGTCGATTTGTTAATTTGTTCATTTATTTATTTGGATTCATTTTAACATTTTTATTTATTTACTTATTTTTTATTTTCTATATTTTTATTTCTATTTGGTTTTCGATTTTTGAGTAACATAGTAATGTTATTTTATCAATTTATATCACTTATAGATATTTTTACGTCTAATTTTTGGATTGGTTTATGTAGTCTATTTTGACGTTTTTTTAGGTGGGATTGGTTTGTTAAGTTGTTTATTATTATTTATTTTATTTACTTATTTGAGTTGATTGTTTTTACTTCATTAGTGGGTTCTTAATTTGTTTATTATTTGTTTGTTTTTTTTATATTATTTTGTTTATTTGTATTTATTCATTTCAGTTTTCGATTTTTAATTAACGTAGTAAAAGTCTGTTTTCCCGTCTGCATTTTGAGATGAGCTCAGATCGTTTATTTAGTAATTTATTTTGGTCTGGGAAGGTAATAATAGCTATTTCTTCCTCCAAGCAAAGTTTGCAGGTTTTTAATTGATTGTTGTAAGAAAAGATCATCACTCTGCAACAATCATTATTGTTTTTGAAAAGATCATCAGTCTACAACAATCATTATTGTTGTTGAAAAGATCATCAGCCTACAACAATCAATAGCCGAGGAAATATCCAGCATTCGCGGCCTGACGGTTGCATCCATCATGAAACAGCCAGTTGAATCTGAGTGTTCATTTTTATATTTATATTTACATACGCTCTGTCTGCGATATTGAGCACTTCATCCCATAAATACAGCACACCTTAAAACTATATTTCTTCATTCATATATATATATATATATATATATATATATATATATATATATATATATATATTGAAACCAATCAAAATTTCGTGAAATAATTATTCATAAACAGATTTTCTTTGCTTCTTTTGTTATTGTTTCAGCCACGTCTTATTTTATGAAAAGCCACATAACTTTAACAATGCTCCTAATTTTACTCGCTTTTTCTTAATGACTGTAGTTATAAACGAGAAGAAGGCTCTCGTATTTTAGCACACAATAATCCAGTAAACAATGGATAGATTTTTCTGTGTATTTAAAGTCAACCTCACTTGGAGATTATTATTATTATTATTTTTATTTTCTTTGATTTCTGGCGTTTACACATTTCTTTTCGGATCCCGCCCAGGGACCTAAGGTTAGAAATGGCAGCATGACACTTTCCACTGACAAAAAAAAAAAAAAAAAAAAGTCTTTGCATTTTAAGTTTTTAGTTATTTGAAATTGTCCTTTACTTTTCTTTTATTAATTTAATCAAGATTTTTTTTAGTTTTTTTTAAGAATTTAATGTTTTAAATTTATACTATTCCTTTTAATATTTATTATTATTATTATTATTATTAACAGTTTGTAATTGTAACGATTATAATGCAATAATGATGGTTTCGCTGCTTAAAATGAACAGACTATTTCAATATATCTATTTTGAATATGATCACTCCCTCCCACCATCCCATTTTTTTAATTTTTCAAGTACCGGAAGAAAAAAAAAAGATTCTGGGTCACCCTGTCAAGTTGCTTAATTCCTTTCTCTCCCTCTCTCACTCTCTTTCTTTTCCCCTCTCCTCATGTCTATCTTTATTTCGCTTCCCCTAAAAAACAACTTTGTATGAAATCTCCGTATTTCTCCCATTTTTCTTTCCTCTTTTATTACTAAAACTTTTTCTTTTTCTCTCTCTTGTTTCTTCACCATTTATTTTTGTAAACCTGGTCTCAAGAGATGGACGTCTGAAATCCACGAAATAAATTATTACCTGACCGAATGGATTTTGAAGGATGATATATATATATATATATATATATATATATATATATATATATATATATATATATATATATATATATATATATATATATATATATATATATCGTATGCACACCATGGTGTTTCATACCAAAAGCAATCTTCAGATGCTGAGGGTTATTTAATTTGAAAATATATCAGTTTATCGTAATGCTGGAGTAGTTATGCACTATAGTGATATAATCTTTTTCAAAAACTTAAAAAAAAATAATTATATTTCTCATGACATTAAATCTCGCAATTAAACCAACCAGTATTAACATATGAACATAAAAAGATAAGTAATTGTTAATTTAATTTTAGAGTTGTGTGTTATCAACTATGATACGTCACACATATACAAACACACACACACACACACACACACACACACACACACACACACACACACACACACACACACACACACACATATATATATATATATATATATACTTTTTTGTGTGTAACAATTGAGGTGTAGTGTACAAAATAACAACGACTTAGCCGGTGCCGGGCGAACGTTGTCCAGTTGACGCGTACTGATATCGCTATCGAAGTGGGTTCGTAAATATAATACACGGCATATATCTTCAAGAATACTTTGTTCATTTTTAGAAATTCATTTTAATCTTGAAGAATTATTAAAAAAAAAAAAAAAAAGCGGTTGTGAAACAGAAAAAAAAAATTAATTAAAAAAAATTAATTAAAAAAAATCTAATGATATGGTGTTACTTAGTAGGACGAGAAATAAACAGACTCTGAAATTACAGATTGAATTTACGGACTGTTATGGATTACTCTGACTTTCCAAAGTTTACTCAATAAATATTTCGCTTTGAAAATATTTTGCAATAAATATAATTTTGGTTGTAAGTATGTAATATTCATGAGGATAATATACGGATATCTTTCCTTAGATGTTTATAAATTGTACACTGTTCAATTATGAATGTTAACAACGAACTATTTTAAATTACAAAATTGTACTTGGATTAAGCGAAAATTACTAACAATATAATTCATATTACTTATAAGACATTCATTCTTGCCTTCAATTTTGACGGCAGGAGTACACTAGTAAATTATTAATTATTGATAATGGAAGTAAGCTAACTTAATTTAATATAAAATAGTAAAATAAATAGAGAAAAAGTATATCTATATAAATTTTAGATAATATATAAATCAATATATATAATAAATCAATATATATAATAAATATATCAGTATATATATAAATCAATATATATAATAAATATATCTTAAAAATATAAATAAAAATAAAAAAATCTATATGAAAATAGAATAATTAGTAACCCATAAATAAGCAAATAGATAAATAAAAATAAAAATGCTCTACACTGAAAATTAAACCGCGATGGTACATAAAAATTAATCTGGGTCTACGTGTTTAAGTAAATATTAATTTTTATGCCTACATGTGACCCTCAGTCCTTTTCTCCTATTTAGGATGTCCGGGTTATTTAAATGTAAGATAATTATTTTTTCAACGAAACACAGGCTGTATTTACACCAACCCCCGCCCTTGCCATTAAACGGTTTATCCCTGGCCATTTTATTCTATTTAATAGACGGTGAATTACCGGAGTCTTTCAGCTGCCAGAAATAATTAGAGAGAGCAGTGAAGTTTCTGTATCAAAGTCATACGGTGATGGTAGAAGCGAAACTTATAAAGATTCCCAATAGAACCAAAATAGAATATAACATCACTACCTGGACGATTACACGCTTGATATACAACATTGTCGGTCATACACTGACTGATTAATGGACAGATCCTATTTTTTCGCCAATTGCATTTATTATTGAACAAGTTTACGCTTTGTTGTAAAAATGTTTGCTGAATATGATGTTGTGACGTGATATAAAGCGCATCATCCAAAATAAAATTGCATACCTTATAAATGTCAACGGAACCATCAACATGGCTTTCAATTCAAATGTAGCTGCATTAGCCAATTGTTGGAATGTTTCAATGACTGAACACAAACTCATATCTATACAACTGAATATATTAGCTCTATCACTGATATTGAGCGCTTTCCACTAAGTAATGCACACACAAAATAATATGTATATATAGTCATACACAGACATACTGTTTCGCTGTATCACAGTTCTTCAGTATGGCTAGACGTCCGATTGCTGTAAGCCGGGATCGAAACCCGACCGATTTGGTATCAGTCAGAGATTTTACCCCTAGGCTATCGTCGCACGATATAGAGAAAAATGGAAAATTTAACCCCAGTGGCACAGAGAGTTCAATTCAATTCGGTTGAAGAGCAATGCATTTAAAGAGGTATATGAGCCACTGTTTTTAAAATTAGTCTTTCTCTCAAGAGAGCTAAAGCAGATTTCCCAGGAGCATACACACACACACACACACACACACACACACACACATATATATATATTATTTTTATGCGCTTTTGGATTTTATATGATTTTTATGTGCTTTTGTTCTATCATGACAGTATCTTAGATTTAGCAAGTAAATAAATTTAATGGTTACTAGAATATAAATGGAAAGCTTGAATTGCACTGTGTGAAGAGCATGTAGAATTTTACAAATGTATTATTGTTGCATTTTGTGCTCTACTATTTTTCAAAATGGCGAAAATGCATCTCTCTTAAAAATACAAAAATTTCAAGTTTACTTTCAGCAGGAACATCTATTATAACAGGTTAAAAGACAGCAATTCCGTCTACTATACACATCCACAACACACACAGGGGGGAGGAATACAGAGATTTGCAATTATTTGTACTTACCGTCCATTGATTTTGGTGTATCATTTTCACCCGTTTCTATTGCAGCTGCCGATGATAGATTAAACCCAATGAGGGTAAACATCGCAACTGCAAAAAGGAATTTCATCATGATGACTGGGGTGATTTCTATCAAAGAACTCAGCTCCACTCAAATATCAGCTTGTCTCATTTGCTGGGACGCAAACTGGTATCTAGGGTTAGGTATCAAACGAATTTATAGCGGCAAATTGGCCTATTTCAGTTAGCCCTACCTGCAGTTCAGATAATCTCAAGTGTTAGAGCATTTGTAAACATCCCCCGGAATTATTTGTTGTCAAAAATTGAGGATTGTTTGTCTTTCCAAATGACTAATCGTCTTCCTGTTGACATTGTGAATATTTTTTGTATTGATCAATTTAAGAGATATTTTCTAATCATTTATTTTTTAAAATCTGTTGGCATAAACAATCGGAAACTTCTGAAGAAGAGGCAAATAACAAAAAAAAAAAGTCTAAGTTTCCTGGAAGCAATCCTATGTATACGTCCTGTTTCTCCGTTCATTCTCCAGATGTTTTATATCGATTAAAAACAAATTTATAAAAACTTCCAGTCCCATTGTTCCTGTTAAATGTCATAAAAAATAACATAAAATCCACCAGCCTTTGTAATTTTTAGGTCTCGATTTAATGCAAAAACAAAACAAAAACGTCTTGAGTCCAAATAAGAATATCCAAATACTCAATTATTTTGACAGCATTAATAGTACTGTCTTTACGTTTACTGAAACTTTTATTGTCATCACTATAAAAGGTATTAATGCCTTCATAAGAATATAAAATTTCATTCGGTTATATGATACGTGTTAAAAAGGACAGAAAATTATTTTTTAGCATCTGACTGTGGCTAAAATTCCACGCATTTCTTTCAGTTTTGAGAATAAGTTCGAAGAAATAACAGAAGCATAGTAATATATGTCATTTACTAAGTGTCTTTTCGTATGTTATTACAATTAATTTCATTGTAAAAAGAAAATATTTCTCATTGCATGACAAGTGAAAAAATGGTCAAGGTTGAAAAGGTCATATTTGCTGTTTCAAAAATGAGAATATTTATTTAGCCACTAGTCTTCCTGATTGTTCTGATACATATATTACCTAATTGCTTCTAAATTACATACAAGTATAAGTGGGAATATAAAGCGTAAACAACAGTATATAATGATTAAAAAATAAGTTGAACACTTGAAATCAACTTGATTGCTATGAATGCAATGAAAAACTAGGGTTTCTCCCGAGTTAAAACTTCTGCTTGAAAACCTGGTCTCATTAACCAGAATATTTCTCCGTAATTTTTATTGTTAGGAATTGTCGATGTAATACCTGAGTTTCTTAACAAATTGATGATGTAACAGTGAAATTTGATATTCTTATTAAATTAATATTTACCTGGTTTCAATTAGTTAAACAAAATCTTTAATCTAATTTAGGTACCTCCACTTTTTTGCGGAAAAACAGCATAGCATGAAGAAAAAGACCACAAACTCAATAAAAACAAAGTTTTGTCATCAAAATCTTTATGCTATTATTAAGAGGAAAGACCAAATTATTTTTTGAAATTTTTTATCCTTTCTATCATGTTCGAAATTTTGGTTAAAAATTTTGTTTTCTTAGAGAACGACGTAATGATAACGATTAGTTTTTTTTCGCTTTTTTCTGGTGAAAAACACTGATTTAGAACTTCTTGCAAAAATCAAATAATTGTTACCACACACTTACTTAATTTCATAAAATTTACAGAAACTCAATTTTTAGAGCGGGGATTTTTTTTATTAGTTAAAAGCAGGATTCCTTGGAGACTGAAAATCATCAATTTTCTTTGTAAAACAGTTAACCCTTTCACCGAAAATCTTCTCTTAATTGTTAAAATAAAAAAAGATCAATGAATGTATGATATTATTTAATTAGGAAAAGCTTTTAATGGCTTTTATAAATAAGTTTAATGTCTTAAAACAGAATTTTTTTTTAATGAATAATGAATTTTTACAAGAATTGTTTTCATTTTTTAAAAATTTTAATTAAATAATTTATAATATTAAAAAATCGTTTAAAATTCTGCATTAATTTAAGGCGGCGGTTTGCTGATAATTTTAAGTGAAAATTCTTTTTACGAATCAAAAACTGAAAAGCTCATAACAGACGTTTGTACTGAATATTTTTTAAAAATTAAAAAAATTACTGTATAAACATTCCCAATTTCTACCTATGGTACGCTACACATGACATAATCTTTAAACGGTCATGTATTTCTTTCACTTATTCAGTTATGTTTCATCGTTAACGCCTTAGCAAAACACCCCTTCAAAATTTTAAAGTAAGTTTTACTTTTTTTAATTACTATTTTACTAAATATTTTTTCTGTATGTATTTTAGCTTCGGTCATACTTCAATTAAGTAATTTTTATTTAAGTTAGTAAGTTATTAAATAAGAACCTAGAGAAAAAAACCTTATTCTACTAAAAAATAATTTTTAATTTTTTAAATTAAATCTTTATTACTCAATTTTTATTTGAAATTGTTATTTTTATACTTTATTCCATTCACATTTGAAATTGTTATTTTTATACTTTATTCCATTCACATTTGAAATTGTTATTAATTTAAAATTAATTGTGAATAGTTTTCATAGAAAACAATACAAAAAATTGGTGTTGAAAACTTTTACTTTTTAACACTGATTTCTTGTAATGAAGAATATAAAAAAATTAAAAATGTATTCTTCATGTGGCAAAATTGATTGAACGTTACTTATTTAAAAAAATTGTTAAATGTTTTAGCAATTGTTTAGTAATTAGTTAGTATTAAGATTACAGAATATTTTAATTATTATAAATTTTTTCCCAAATCAATATATTTTTCTTGCTTAACTTTATTTTACTTTTTAAAATTTTAGATGGTGACAGCAGAAAAAAAAAATTAAAAATGACTACTGCATAAAGTTAAACCGTAGACATCAGATTCTTTGTGGCCATATTTTTGAGAAACTTCTCAACAGATATGGAACATTTTCGAAGATAGCACAATGGGCTACACTGGAGAATGCCAAAATGGTTTCCTTAATATTACAATAAATTCTGTTAAGAAATTTTCTGTATTTTTCAAAAAAAGAAATATAAGAAAAATTTTTTTCTGAATTTGAAAAGAAATGTAAAGGGGTGGTCCATTTTATTATTAAATCTGCTACTACCACATCTTCCATTGCCTCTTTGACCGCTATCCCAGTTGCAACTTCAACCCTGTTTGCTGCAATTACAACCATGTCTGCTTCAACTACAACCATGTCTACTTCAACTACAACCCTGTCTGCTGCAAGTGAAAACCTTTCTGCTGCGACCCTGTCCGCTACAGCTGTAACCATGTCTATTACAGGTACAAACCTGTTTGTTGCAGCTGTAGCTGTAAACACAACATAGTGTGCTGCAATTACAACCCTGTCTGATGCAGTTCAAGCCTTCAAAGTTATTTTATGAGCTGTCAAATTGGATATGAATTTTATGTGTAGTTAATTATTTTCAAAAATATTCCTTAAAAACGTAAATTTGGTGACTTAATGTTTGTGAGTTCAATGAACAGAGTTTTCCTTGGACTCAGTGGAAAGTGAATAGTACTAAAAATAACAACAAGACGATATCCTTAGAGATGGGTAGTGGAACGTGAACTGTTTACCATCGTAGATTAATGTTAAAAATAAAGATAAATATTATGTTTTATATCATTCTAGTTGTTGGATAGCTGAATAAACACAACTTTCATTCCGTCCTGTGATGTCACCTATCAATTCTGTTTGAGAAGAGAAAGGTATTTCATACAGCTGAATATATCGATTAGGTAAATATCATCAATTTAAAATTATATTTAATCTATTTAGAAACAAAGAGATACTATATAAAGGATTTTTTAACAAGTTTTTACTCGGTCTGTTCTAAAGTATTGCTTTCTTCAAGTGTGATTGTTCCCAACACAACAGACGTCTATTCGTGGTTGCACGTAAGAAATGTAAACATGTCCCCAAAAGAGTTAAGTCTCTGTTTGCTCAGAGAATGAAACATCGTACTGCATCTAACAAGTTTGGCTCTCGTGATTACTGGTGGCTCTGTGATAGTGTGTTAAATGAGAGTTTTCGATTCCTCCTCAAATTTAATCAATTTAAGGTGTTAACATCTGCTGATAAAGCTAATTGTTTCTCCCGTAAATTCTCCTTGAACTGTACTCTTGACTCATCTGTGGTATCCTTGCCTAACCTTCCACTTAGAATTGACTCTCTGTTGAGTGATATGCATATAACTCCTTCTATGGTTTCTTCTGGCATCTCTAATATGAATTAGAAATGGCTCCTGTTCTCTCTAAACTGTATAATATATGCCTCGCTACATCTCGCTTTCCTGCTTGTTGGAAATCCTCATCTGCTCTTTCACTCTTCAAGTTTTTAAGAACATAGGTGAACCGCCCGATCCTTTTAACTATCAGCCTATTAGCTTTCTGTCTTTTTTTTTTTTTGCAAACTATTAGAGGCTCTAATCAATGTTGAATTGGTTAAGTATCTCACATCGCAAGACCTTCTTTCAGGCAAGCAATATGGCTTTCATTTCTCTAGGTCAACTGCTGATGTACCGACGATGGGGGGTTAGAAGAAGACATCGAATCGAGAGACTCTGCCCGACTGCGATTTAGTCAACCCATTATGCAGGAACAGTCTTCCCAAGAATATACCAAAACTAACTGTAAATATTGTGTACCCTTTCCTTGTTTCAATACATTTTGTTAACGTACATTTTGTGTTGTATTATTATTATTATTATTATTCCATGCTTATCCAAGTTTCAACAATGACGACGAGGTATAAAGAACTTTACGTTACGGAAAAAAAAAAGAATTAATAATTGATAGCCTTCAACAATTGGGACAAGTGGAAGAACCCAGGCTGAAGAAAAAAAAAAATTATTAATTAAAAGTCGAACATCTAATGGAACGGAAAAGTATTCTGAAGTTTGGACAGTTAAAACTAGTTAAAGGACGACTAAGCTTAAAGGAATGTTCACTCAGAAAA